TTTAAAGTGTTAAAAAGCTAAGATAACACTTTGAGGACTAAGGTTTGCCTGACCCAAGCCACAGTATTTTCAATAGCCTCAAATGTATGCAAAGTTGGACAATAAATAAGGAAGACAAAAGAAGAATTGATGCATTTGAACTGTGAGTTGGGGAAGAATATTGAATGTATGTATCATAGACTGCCAGAAGGATGAACAAATCTATGTGGAAAGATGTACAGCCAGAATGTGTCTTAGAAATGAGGATGATGAGACTTAACTCAGGAAAGTACAGCGTAAGTGAAAACGAGGAAGGCCTTCAACGGGATGGCTGCAACAAAGGTCTCAAAGATAGCAATTGTTAGGATGGTGCAGGACTGGGCAGTGTTTTGTTCTGTTGTATGTAGGGTAGCTATGAGTTGTAACTAAATCAATGGCACCTGAAAACAACAAAGGGTTTACTATGAAGATTAAATGAATTATGATATCCAAATCACTTAGCAGTGTCTGGCACATGTAGGGTCTAGAGATACAGAATTTCGGTCATTATTGAGCTATTAAAGTTTTAGAGGGTAAGAAAGGAGGCTAGTGAAACATTTTACCTGAGCCTTTGGCCTCTTTGTAAACAACTACAGAAGCTTTTCCAGGTTTCCACTGGACACTTGGTAGGGAGAATTATGAGTTCCCAACAGACTGAGAACCTTTTGTATTGTGATGGCCTGCCTGCAAACAATGCATATTTAAGAAACAAAAGCAAATATGAAAAAATAAATTCATCCTTGAGTCCTTAGAACTAGATTTAATCATTTTATCAAAGAAAGGCATTTGACCATTTCCTGCTTCTGAAATCAACTCCAGATATTTGACTGAATGAGAATAATCTGTCCTCCAACCAGGATGCTTCCAAGATGGAATCTTCTGGCAACTTTATTGCTTCACAGTTGTGATTCGTGGAAGCTTGTAATTTTAGATTCTTCATAATTCTGAACTAACTTTTTCTGACTTCATTTATTTTAATATCCCAGAATAGCTTCTTGAGCTATAAGTTTGGTGATCCAGGAAACTATTTATAGCAGGATGAGTATTCTCTGTGACTGAAGTTATGTTTTATTTTGAGGATAAATTTTAAAAAAAAAAAGATTGATAGGGCTTGTGGTATTTTAAACTGAAAGCAGTGCTAAAACAAATAAAAGGCAGGTGAAGTTTGAAGTTGGAACATAGAAAGACATGTACGTACTTCAGTTTAGCTAAAGGCTGGGGCAGGCTTGCTGAGAAGAGAAAGGCCAAGACAGAGTAACTCAGGACAATTTTTAAAGTGGACTTGACATTTCAACTGAGGGCACCCTGGGCACTGTTTGACCAATGTTTAATAATACCGAGCAGACAGATGCAGACAGTATTTTTTGTCATAATTAAGGTTAACACTATCCTTGCTGTTATCAATATTCCCCTGAGCAGGAGAAAAATAGGTGGTAGAGGAAGGAAAATCAAAAGGAGAAAACTTTTTTTCTCAAGGCTTTTCCTTGCTGCCCTACTTCCCCTCCCCTCAGGTAGACTCTGCACTGCCTTTGTTGCAAAACTAAAACAGATTTGGATTAGTCAAAAGGGAAAACTGTGTTGTAACTTTAAAGGCCAGGCTTTTGGAATTGCTCCTAGAGCCTGAGGTGCTCTAGGAAGGAAATGACAGAGATGTGCCTCCTTTAAAGAGGGGATTACTTTTACCTTTGCCCACTGACTTCAGTAAAGGGTACATGGGCAATTACTAGAGCAGCCTTCAACTCACAATCCCGCCAGAACTTCTGGTGGTGGTAGTGGTAGTTGGTGGTTATGTGCTGTGGAGTTGTAACCGACTCATAGCCACCTTGTATAGGGTTTCTGAGGCTGTAAATCTTTACAGGAACAGAAAGCCTCATCTTTCTCCCACAGAACAGCTGGTAGTTTCGAACTGCTGACCTTGATGTTCGCAGCCTGATTCATAACCACTACGCTACCAGAGCTCCTTCAGAACTTCTGGTAATCTTCCTCAAAGTACCAATCAATCCAACCCCTTCGAATTTATTCTATGTTGTTGCTGAATGATATTGAGTTACTTTTGACTCATAGCAACCCTATATAGGGTTTCTCATGATGCACTTTTTTTTTGCAGAAGCAGAAAGCCTCATCTTTCTCTGGGGTAGCAGCTGGTGGTCTCCAAAGACCAGTCTCGTAGCTAGCAGTCCTGTGCTTATCCTACAGTGTCACAGGGCTTCTAGAGACCCTATAGTACAGATTAGAATGGTCCCACTTGGTTTCTAAGGTAGTGAATTCTTTTGTTTAATGTTTTATTGTGAATTATGTGAAGTTTAGACGGGAGAACAT